GGCTCAGTCCCCAGCTGTGCTATTAACCAACTGTGTGACTTAGGACAAGCCGTTTCCCTTTGAGATCTGGGTTTCCTCATCTGAAGGCAAAGGTCTTGGTGTTGGGTCATCTTTAAAATGCCTTCTGCACTAGCTGTCAAGGAGTCAGAACGTGCTTCACCCTGGAGAGGTTATCTGCTGCCAGCTACTGTTGACTCCGGGAACTTCTCTTCACAAGAAGCTGGCTTTCAAGCTCCACTGGCTCTAAAAACCCTCAGTACTTGCAGTCTTGTCTAGACTGTTCTCCCAGGAGTGCAGACTAGAAGCTGTGACTCAGACTTGAATTCAAACCCCCAGAGTCAGGAAGAATCTCCTCCCACTGAAAGACTAATTCACGAGCTCTACCCCTTCCCAGGGTAGATAGGTCATATTTCTTGTGTGTTTGCTCTGTCACCTGATATTTGTTTATCTTTTATTCAATCATTCGGGGTTAACATTCCATTTTTTAGCCTCTTCAGATTCCAGCCAGCTGAATTTGTACGTCCCTATGCAAGGCATTTCTCATTTCCATGGGCATTTCTCATCCCTGTTCACTTTTTGGAGAAGTTTCCAGGAAGGAATGTGATATGATTGCACACGGTACAGCTGAACAGATATGGAAGATAATGGGGAGTAGCCTTCACAGGTTCCTGGTCCAGGAAGACAGTCACATGGACTGATCTCTGTCTCTGTCTATGTCTCTGTCTCTCTCTCCCTCTCTCCCTCTCCCTCTCTGTCCCCCTCCCTCCTCTCTCCTTCTCTGGAAGTATGTGGGTCTCCATCTGCCCCCTTTCTGCTTGACTGATGTGGGTATAAAATATCTTTTGATAGATACTAGATTGGAAAGGCACTAACAAGTAATACACAGTACACATTCTTACTACCCATCAGAAAAAAAGTCACTTAGAAAGCATCTACATGGAACATTCTTTCTAGGCTTAGATGAAAAATGTTTTCATCTTGTTTCAAAAGCTCTTTGCTCTTCATTTCCTAGGCTCATTCTTTCTTCCTCTTCCCTCCTTCCACATCCTAAATGAAAGCCAGGAATTTTTTTTTTTTTTTTTTTTTTCACTTTTTGAGACAGGGTCTTGCTGTGTAGTCCAGGCTGGCCTCGAACTCCCAATATAGCAAGGCTGGCCTCAAACTCCTGACCCTTCTGCATTAGTCTTCTGAGTACTGGGATTGCAGGCAAGGACTACCGTTCCTGGCTGTGTTTTTTTTAAAAAACTTTAGGTTTTCTGTAACTTTTTTAGAGCTAAGAGAACTGATCGGGATCATGACCAGTTTGAGAGATATCTACCAGCCTTTATAAATTTTTATGTTGCAGGTTGACAAGTAAATAAAGAAGAGGGTGTTTGGGCCTCTGTGGTAATTCCTTCCAAGAGAAGGTGCCCATGGGGAGTAGGAAGGCAAGGGGCCAAAGTAAGATGAACAATACTATTAGGGTAAAACAGAATCTGTAGAAAGAGCTGGGGGCACATCATGTGGTACTTGGGAAAGGCCTTTCAAGAAGGATGAGCCACAAAAATGCATCTCTGCATCCTATTGAGCCAATCAGGGAAGTGATGATAGGCCCAGTGAATGTCAGACATAGCAGCTTATGCTGGAAGTAGGTGCTCCTATCTTTGCTGTACTAGACATAGGAGTGAGGCTGGGGACTAACTTAAAAGTTTTGTTTATAAGTGGAAACCCAGTTGGACAGTGTGTCCAACATTGCCTGACTGGTATCCTTTTCCTGCCCTCTGTGCTCTGACTCCTTTCCTGAACTGCTGTTTCGCCCTGAGCCTTCAGGCTCATGAAAGCAAACAGACAGACGGCATACATTAGCCACATCTTTTCTGTAAGGCATTTTGCAGATATTAGTGAAAACTGCTTTGCTTTTTTACTTGAAAGTAGTCTTGATTCCACTTTAGAAGGAACATTTGCAAGGGGCTGCTTTGTCAGGATTCCTTATGTTCAGGGAATTAGAGATTTGACTTCTTGGCTGAGTGGATGAGGTCTCAGATGCATTCCTTGTCGAGCTGTCTGCAAAGACACTGATCGGAAAGGAAGGCTGCTGCTCCTTCCCCCCCACCACTCTGATATAACTTTCCACACATGTCTCACCGTGGGGCTGCTGGATTTCATCACTGGATACCCCTGAAAGTGGATTTTGGCTATAGGTGGACTCTTTAAGGCATTTACAAAGTCATTTAGAATCCAAGGGTTGTGAGGGCTGGAGTCGGAGAATGTGTGTATGACCTGAAGATTAAGCCAGCAGGGATGGGCTCCAGAGCTTTCACTTCCTCATAAACGTCAAGTGTCAACTGAAATTCAGTGATACACATGAACTTCACAAGTACAGTGGTGAGCAAAATGTAGCAACATGTAAGAGTTCACAGATTGAGTCTTTTGGTAAAAACTATACAAACAGACAAAACTAATCTAGTCTGTTAAGAAGTCAGGAGAACAGTTATCCTTGGTGAAAGAGCAAGTGGTACCTGGAAAGGAGTATGAGAGGGACTTTTGGGTAACTGTTAGTAATGTGTGCTTTTTCATCAAGGTACTGGTTATACAGGTGTGTTCACTTTGTGAGGATTTACTCAGCTGAATACTCACAGTATGTTATATTTATATTTCTCTTCTATATGGCAATATGCCTATGACATCCTTCAATGTATTTTATACTTTAATAAAAACAACTTACTGAGAGACATGGAACTACCTCTATAGTTCTAGATAAGTTGGAAATGCTAGAAAGCAGAATAGTATACGTAAAACTCTTATATTAGAAATATACACAGGCTTATAATTGTGTGTGGACAGAACATCTCTGGAAGGAAGCTAGGAAGCTAGGTTGCCTCTAAGGTGCCTAGAGAGAGAAGTACATAGGAGGAAAACTTGCTTTTTATTCTATATCCTTTGTGTCTTTTGAATTTTGTATCATGTACTGAAATATTTAACTAAATACAATTATTCATTGGAAGTTAAGTAATAAAGAGCACATTCTGCTGAGTGAAATAAATCAATAAGAAAAGGACAAATGCTGCCTAATTCCACTTATTATTTGAGGGACTTAGAGTGGTCGGATTTACAGAGATGGAGAATAGCATGGTGGTTGTGGGGGGAACAACATGTATATGTTTTCTGTGTAACTTTAGGAAGCTTTTAATCCTTTTATTCATTCTTCCTTCATTCTATTCACTCATTTATTTATTTATTTCGTGCTGGGGATCAAACCCAGAGCTTTGAGTGTGCTAGGCAAGCACTCTACCACTGAGCCACACCCCCAACACAATGCTTTAATCTCGGATTTCTATGTCTGTCTTCGTTTTCTCATCGAGGAAGTCTGACAGTATTATGGAGTTGTTATCAGAATTAAATGAAAGAATACATGTAAAACACTTAAAATAGTCCTCGGAACATAGATGCTTAATAAGTATTAACTAACATTTTTTATTATATGTCATGGAGTAGAAAAGCAAGTTGGAGAATACTGTGTATAAGACCAATCCACTAACATTTTGTGAAAGAGCATCTATGTGGATATTATACACGCAGCTAATGTACTCGCTCATACATCCATCACATGTTTAGCAAGTATCTCCTATGTTCTAGACATGTACTCAGAGCTGGGTGACAGTAGTGAGCATGGAGTGTCAGAATGGAGAATATGATGGTGTTGAGACTGTTTAAATAGAGAAGTTAAAAGCCAGGCATGATGGCACACACCTGTAATCTCAGCACTCAGGAAGCTGAGGCAGGGGGAGTGCTGCAAGTCTGAGGCCAGCCTGGACTACATAGTGAATTCAAAGGCAGCTTGAACTGTATTGTAAAAGCCTGTCTCAATAAATAAATAAATAAATAAATAAGCAGAAAATAAAAAAAAAAAAATAGATCAGAAAAGACCTCTCTGAGAAGGAGACAACGGCATAGGATATATCCGAAATAGGAGGACCCAGCCATGCAAAGATGAGAAGAGCTTTCTGGTCAAAGGAAGTAGCATGGAAGGCCTCTTGTGAGTAAGGAGAGTAGTATGAGAGAACATCTCATTCTGCTCAGAGACCAGAGGGAGGAGGCCAGCCTTTCGCTGCCTCGGGGACCTTATCTGGGCATGGCGACAATAACCATATCTATTCCAGAGGACACTGCTGGACCACACATGGGCAATAATAGAAAGACGGGAAGAAACTGTTAATAGTGGTTTCCAGTGGGGAGTGGTGCTCAGAGTAAGGGAGGTGGGTATGGAGTAGAGAAAAGGAATTTTACTTCCACCTCATTTCCTTCTTTACTGTTTAAATTATTTACCTTAAGCACGTATTTATTATTTTTTAAAAAGCTGGTTAATAAAAAATTGAAGAATTGTAATGATTAATAGTAAGGAATCTACCAAGCTTTCATTCTTCCAAGAATCACCTTGCCTTAACTCTCCGGTGACCTCCCATGAAGTGAGAAAGTAATGCCCATGCTAGCTGCTCCTTGATCGGAAAGTAGCACGGACCTCACCTCCTGTCTCCTCAGCAGTCTTTCTCTTCAAGCCAATAAGACCTTCATCCGGGTTCTTTCAGTGAAACCCTTAACTTCTCTCTTTCACTAGGACTATTTTTACATTTTGAAAAAGATCTCTCATATTCATGTGAGATTCTCACTTTTTGGTTGATGCAGTCACACACACACACACACACACACACACACACACAAGAAGCAGATACTCAGTGTTTCCATTGGAGTGGGATGGGGTGAGCAATGGAGCTGAGGTCAAAGAAAGAAAGAACAGTGCCTGTGTGACATATTTTAGGACTCCCCAGGGGCTGTGTGCTTCACATCTATCTCAGGATCTCTGCTGGGCTTCCCGAGGCCTTGCCTCAGTTAGAAGAACATTTGTTGCCCTATGGAATGTCCTGTGAGGCAGAGAAAGAATTTTCTTGTCTAAACGGAATCTCAGCAGGGGTTCAGACCATGGAGATTCAGAACTCTAAGGCAAGACAACTGATGATGTTTTCTGGGACAGATCTCAGAACTAGCTCCAAGGAAGGCACAGTGTGTGTGTGCCCATGTGCACATGCGCACATGCATGTGGTTGGAGGTACAGGAGGTTTGGGGGCCTTGGTCTAGAAATCTGTCATTTCCAATCTTCTAATAAGAGCTGGAGTCCAAAGGAGGAAAATAGAGCATCTAACCTGTTCTCAGCCTCCTCAGTGATAACTTCATTACCTACAGCTCAGCAGAAGAAATAAGGTAAATAAGGCCAATTTGGGACCTCATACCCGGCAACCTATATGCCCAGGCCACACCGCATGTCCCTTTGTTTACTCCCTGGGCAGTTGATAACTGTTTCCAAAGGGAAGAAATAGGTCAGTTAACAATTTGCTTTTAGCACCTGGCCAGATGTGACCCTCAGGTTGCTCTTCTCCCTGGCCTTGGCAAGGCCTTCCGCTGTGGCTGGCCTGCCCTCAGTCCTGCTCACCCAGACAGCTCCCCACTGCAGCAAATGACATCCTTTCCAGCTCATCCCACAGAATCCTATTCCCAGAAGACTTCCTTTCTCCTCCATTAATGCTCAGAAAACTGAGTCTGTGGATAATAAGCAACAATATATACCGAACTAGTGTTGTCTGAGCACCTATTATGTGTCAGGCAGTACTGTACTTTCTATGGACTGACTCGGTCAGTCCTTATCACAGTGCCGGAAGTAGCTATGACTGTTGTACCTGTTTTCAGATAATGATACTGCTGCAGAGAGAGGCTGACTTCCTCTGCTTTTCCTTCCAGCCTCCACGCTCTGAACAAGCCAGCCGTTCCCTACGCATTTAGTCAGCCCCTGCCCAAAAGCCCAGCTCCTGGTGAATGGCTGCTCCTGATCTCCTTAACTCTTCCATCTCCTTTCACATCCCCAGCAAAAAAATGTGTCCCCAGATTCCTCCCACCGGCCAGCTCCATCTGTGAAGCATGTGGGCCGATGTTTGAATAAGAATGACTAAAGGGGAAAGCGGCTTTATGAACTTCAGACTGTGAACTCAAGGAAGAGAATGAGTCAGGCCTCCACATTCCTGAGATGCTTTCAGGAGGCTCGGTGACCTCAGACAATTAGAAGCTGAGGCAGAATGTCCTTGGGAGGCCCCCCCACCAGGAAGAACGTGAGGGCCAAGCTCCGCCTGTGCTGCTCCTGCTCTGAGCCCCTGACACCACCGCCCTGCCTTACCCAGGGTTTTTCTTCCACCTGGAAGGCCTTTCCCTGAGCCCTGGTCAGCTCATCCTCCACTAGAACGCAGGGCTCTGGGCTTATGCAGGCTGTGAGCTTGCCTCTCACCACCTAATTCTTGCTCCCAAGCACAAATTACTTTAAACACGTCTGCCCTCCTCACCCTTTAAGCCTCCTCAGGCTGAGACTGAGGAACAGTCAGACCCTTGGGTGGGGGAATGTGGATGCTAATCCCTTCTCTGGCAATGACACCTCCCACACCTACATTCCTCTTGAATTAAAATGATTTGTTTTATATACCTCTCCCACAGATGGTGACCTCCTCAGTGCAGGGACACTTCACCGCAGGCACTGTTCTCAGCGAAGAGTGCATGCGTGTCTATTAAGTAAGTTTGAATAATCATGGACAAATCTTTCTCCCTGGCTTCTGTGTTATCCATTTCTTTCCCCACCAAGTTTAATGCCGTGGTTGACAAGAGGTATAAAGATCCACATAAGGAAAATATCATCCACAAGGCCCCCCCAAAAAATGCTTTTGTATCTATCTATCTATAGATAGATAGATAGATAGATGTATATGCACAGAGATATAGAGTATATAGAGAGATATAGACATAGGACAGAGTTCATCCCCTATAGGCAAATTGCAGAAAATTCTCTCACAAGAATTCCCTCAGAAGTTTTTCCAAGATTCCCAAACAGGGAAGGTATGAGAGGTTGTCCTCAGATCCATTTTATGGATGGAAAAATTGAGAGAGCAGATTCCCATGCCCGTGAACACTTCAATAGCTGTACTGCTTTCCAAAAGGAACAAAAAGTGAAGGGCGAATGAGGAAGTAAATCCAGCTAGGCTGTGGATCATTAGCTTAAAGGTCAAGATTTAGGCCCTCTGGCCCCTTGACCCCTAGAGAAAAGGGCTTTCAACTATCTGCCTGGTACATTTTTTTCAGTACTAGGAATTGAGCCAAAGGCCTTTGTGCTAAACTACACCCTCAGTATTCTTTAAAATTTTGAGACTTGAGCTCAGAAGTTGCTAACTTGCCCAGGCTGGGCTGGAACTTGAAGTCCTCTTGCCTCAACCTCCCAGAATGCTGAGATTACAGGTATTTGCCACTATGCCCAGCCCACACAAAACATTCTCAAAACTACTGAGGTTGGCCACATCACCCATGTTGGAGAGGAAAACCTTGCCTTGGAGGCAGAAGTTGTGGGTTCTAGTCCCATCTCTGGCGGTAAGGATGTTGGTGACCTTGGACATCTCACAGAACCTTTCGATCTCACCTCACCTGTGTCATGAAGAGGTTGGGAGAGTGACCAGGTGAGCTGAAGTTCTGTGATTCATGCTCACTTCCTGTCATCCGCTTAAGCATTTCTCCATTGAACAGTGTGGGACTTGCCCTACTGTCTACTTCCTCAAGTAATAGAGCTGCTACCCAGCAGTTTTACCCTCCAGGAGAGGAAGTAGGCAGTGTGCCTAAGTGCAGCCAGCACATCAGCAGACAGATGGGATTATTATCTAAAAAGTTTGAAATCGGTTTGCAAGCTAAGCAAAGGAGGCCCTCTTCTCCTGCCCCACCTTTGCCTCTATTTCTTGCCCACTGGCCCATGCCCACCCCAGCCTTCTGCCTGGTGTCCTTTCCCTCCTTCTGGCCGGCCAGTGGCAGCTACCTGAGGAAGCTCAGCCCTGCTGCCCTAGTTCACCTTGCTGCACCTGCCAGATGCTTTCTGTTGCCTCCCAGGTAGTTAATAATCTCCCCCTGGGCAGAAGAGCCTTTAATAATTTACCAGAGTAGATAAAGAAAAAAGCATAGTTCCCTGCTTGGAGGCCAATTAGCTGGCAATCCAGACAGTATGGATGGCGTTAAGACTGGCTTCAAGTTCAAACCCCCTTTTTTTTGTATAGGGAGCCTTCCTGATAGCTATGTATATAAAGTCTTATCTGAACTTCTTTCAGATATTTAAACATCCCAGCCTTACTGTATGATCAACACTTTAGGGCTCCTTCACAGCCCAGGGGAGTTAGCTGTATAAGAAGAAAGACACCAAAATACCACAGAATAAAATGAGATTTAAACGTGCAGAGAACTGTTATTTCTGCAATTTCTCGCTTGTTTATTAAAATCTGGAAAAAAAACCTTTTACACAGGAAGTTATATTTCTTTGAATTAAACAGTAGACTGATAGAAAGAGAAAGAGGGAGAGAGGGAGAGACAAGGAAGGGGGAAAATGCTTTGGAATAATTGGAAATCTAGGTTGAAATCTTGTCTTCAGCTAACTGTGAGACTTACCAAGAGGCTCTGAACCTTACTTATGTTGTCCCTAAAATGGAAGCACTGATTCTGTCTTTGGAATTTTTACATAAATCATAAGTAAGTAAAGAACAACCTGACACACAGTAGATAATAAATGATATATCATCACCATTGTCGTCATCCTCGCCATCATCATCAAGATCATCATCACTGGAGCTGCCCGCATGCAGCATAAATATGGTAAACTCTAGCACTCCTCATTCCCAAGGAACTATAACCCCTATGTCTATGACTTCGTATAGTTCCCTCTCACATTGACTCTGTTTTGACTTTGTGACTTGGTCTGACCAATAAGTGTGAAGCAATCAGAGAGTTTTAGCAGGTGCTTCTACACTGGGACTAATCCTCTTAGAAGTTTTAGAAGCCAGGACATTGGCTATAAAAATGCTCAGGCCAGAATATGCAATGATGAGAAACTACAAGAAGAGATCTCCAGAGGAATAGAGGTCATCTAGAACATTCCAGCCTGCACCAGGCTGAATAATTTCATGAGCAACAACCCAGCTGAACTTCATCCACAAATAAAATTGTGACAAATAATAAATCATTGTTATTTTAAGACATCAAATTTTGGAAGGGCTTGTTACACAAATGCCAAGTGCAAAATGTACACCAAGGTAAATCAACAACACAAGTAGAAGCAACAGATTCTCCTTATAGAAGGTCACATGAAACAGACCTTGAGATTGTAGTTAGTCATAAGCATTGACTCACTGCTAAGAAACTAAAAGCAAGCTTCCTTTGTCTTCATTAAAAGAAAACATTGGTTGATTGCCTGTATAGTTATCAAGTACCTATTGGTTGCTAGGTTTTGTGCTAGGGGCTGGGGATACCAAGAAAGTTATGATGTAGTCCACATGTACCACACTGCCTCTTGGATTCTGAAATTTAAGTCTGTGTTTGTGTTGGGGCCTCTATTAGTCAGCACTGTGTTACTATAACTAAATACCTGGGATAATTGATTTATTAAGGAAAAGGGTTATTATGGCTTATGGTTTCAGAGGTTTTGGTCCATGAACATTTGGCCCTGTGACTTTGGGCCTATGGTGACATAGAACACCATGGTGGAAGTACATGGTGAAGGAGGTCTAGTCACCTCAAAGCAACCAGGAAACAAAAGAAAAAAGAGGTAAGATAGCAGTCCCAATATCCCCTTCTAGGACATGCCCCTAACGGGCTAACTTCCTCCACTAGGTTCCTTCTCCAGAAGTCTCCACCGTCTCCCAATAGCACAGTGGGTTGGGGATAAGCCTTCAATGCATGGGCCTTGGTAGGACACTTTTCTAAAGCACATGGGGGCTGGGGCAAAAGAGTATATGCTCATAGTTCACTAGGGCAGTGGATATGGAAACAACAAAGCACTTCAGTCCTTAGCGCTGAGAGATTTACTGCCATTGACATTTGGGAAAGATCTGGAAAATTCTGCTAACCAGTATCCCAGCTTTTAGAATGACCTTGACAACCTAAAGCATGTCTAGATGCAAACAGCCAGGGGAAAGAAAGGCCTGAAGACCAGCTCATGGGAGAAAGATTGCAGCCACAGTGTTTATCCCTGGGGAAACAAGAAAAGAAATTTGATAGTATAGGTGGGGATGGAGTACATATTTCAGAAGTTTTAAATATGACATCTGAGAGACAGTTAAATTCATTCTGAGGAGTGCCAGCAAGAGAACAATAAACAGTTATTGAAAGTCATAGAGGGATAGGTTTACAGTTAACATCCAGAAGAATGGCTAATGCTTCTGGGGCTGGAGCTGCAAAAAGAGGCCGATCAGGCAACTCTGCCCATACCAAAAGCCTGGATCACCTCCTTCCGAGGAAGTGGGAAGGGATTCTAGCAGTTGACAGGGCCATGATCCTCTGAGTCTCTCCCACATGTAAGGCCCCACAATCCATCCCTTGAGTTCTGTCACCCTTATCCTGACCAAACAGTATTGAGAAGCATAATAGCTGAGATCTTCCTGGTGATAGTCAGTGGGGAAATTATCTACTGATAATGAGAAAGCTTGCTCCAAGCTTCATAATTTAGCCCAGGAGACTGAGCCCAGAAATTAGGGCTAGGAAGAATTGAAGATTAAGAGACAAATAAGTGCTGCATCTGATGTAACTCACTACTTTGAAGAGGTCTATGAAAATTTCTATCTTCTGGGAGTTACTTCGCATACCTCCAGTAAATATGAGGATGTAGATTTCACAAGCGTGTGACAATTTATGAAGCACCAGCGACGGAGACCAGGTAAAGATAAGGAAGTCACTTGGTATTTCCGATTGAGTATTATGGCCCTGTACTGGGCCCTTCATTGGGACTCCTAACTGGCTCTTTCCTGCTCCTCTCATCTGGCTTGCAAAACAACAGGGAAGAAATTCTTTCTTCCACAGTATTAGAACAAGAGAGGGGATGGCAGGTTCACAGGCTCATGGGAAACAGGAGATCAGCGAGGTCCAAGCTGGGGACTCTCTGGAGACAGACCTTGCAGTAATGGGCTCAGTCAAGGCAAGCCTTCCACCTCACTGTCGCCCTCTCAGGGTGGGAATAGAGGGCCACCGCAGAGGTCCTGCTGGCTCACCACTGTGTGGGCTCCCCAGGCACTTCACCCCTGCTCCTTTGCACATGCTGTCCCACTATCTGTCCTTTCCTCTGCCCTTTTTTTCCTGAGACCCAACTTGCAGATTTTACCCCACATGAAAGCTCCACCAACCCCACGTGAGGCAGCCTCAGAGCAGCATTGTATTGTACAGCCCAAGTCACTGCAAACAGACTGTGAGTTCCTTGAGGCCAGCAGCCAAATCTTGTTCATCTCTTTCTCCACCAGCGAGGTGGTTCAGAACCTGAAGTGCCTCTGATGCTCACCCTACCTGGCTTGAGTGTAGGATGTGAGCTCCTTCTCCCACCACACACTTACTCTGCTCCGGACAGTGAACGCACCTGCACTATCTCTGTGATCCATTTTAAGAAAGTTGGAATGCAATGCTGGTCAGTAATAACTTCACAAAGGAAACTTCACAAAGCAAAATATGGTTTCCATTTGCTCCCTCCACAATGGAAGATCTGGGGTACCTGGGGAAAGGGGTTTGATCTAACTGGGACCTGAACAGAACAGGAACCCTCCAGGGACAGAGGCCAGTCATGGCAAAAACCTTGCAAGCCGCTGACCCAGCACAAAGCCTCTACTGTGGGGAAACTGAATATAAGGGTGTGCCTTGTGCTAAGGGAACAGGATACACAAACCCAGAGTTATAAAATAGATAGATCTGGAGGTGGTTATTGACTCTCTGGGAGAGCTCGCCAGCAGCTTCCTCTAAATAGCCAGCTCCCACAGTCCACTGAAACTGTGATTTTATTTTCAGGAGTTTGATATTACACACCAGTTTTCAAGAGAAACATAAATAAAGCCCCAGGGAACCTGGCATGGCGGCATGTCTGGCAGCAGCTAATTGCCCAGGCCTAAAGGTGAGCAGCTCCAGTGCTGGACGGCCCATGGATGGGAAGCTCCCCGCTTATCCACTCCAGCCCAGTCTAGGCCCTTGGAGCCTGTTTCTGATGTTTTGTGTGATAGAAAGAACAAGGCCCTATCCTAACCTTCCTGGTTGATTGCTCCGTGCACTTTCCTAGAGGGAGAACACAGGACTGGATCGCCTATTCTTTCATTGATTCATTCAGGCATTTACTGTGTACCTACCGTCTTTGTGCATGATGCTGTGCTGGGTGAAGAAAAGTCTAAAAGCCTGTGAAATGTGTTCTCTGCCCTCTAGGAACTCAGTCTAGCAGGAGAGACAAGCTTCTACACTTCATTGATCCTAGAAAGCTTTTCCCCCCTCTTTAACAGCTCTGAACTGCATCTTACAGCAGATGGCATGACATAGTTTAACTGGCTGGCTTTTTCTTCATAGTATATAAAACGATGGAATATCTTGCAGTCACCAATGTCTCACACAGATAAGATGGAGTATATGAAAGTACTAAGCAATAGTTTAATGCTACAGAACCCAAGTGGGATTTGCTGTTTGAAGATAAAATTGGCCCTCTTTATAGACCCCTTTGGTTTCCCTCTGCAAAGAGTATGTGTCATAAGCAGTAAGTTTCCTTCTCCATAGCTATTCAAGGAAGCTGGGCCAGAGTGCCTTTGCCCTTCCTCCATTCTGAAGTGGGAAGTGGTGCTGGCCTAGCACGTGGGCCGCAAGGAAACCAGCAACAACAGGCCCCAGGAGCAGCATTTGAAGGACTTGATGAAATTGATATTGATTCTCTGTCTCCCTGATGGCAAGCCATTGGCCATCTGTGCCCCTAGACTTTCTTGCAGGGCCTGACCTATAACAGGGATATAAACAGCTCTGTGTACATATACAGAGGTACCACATACCTCTGTGTATGTGGCCTGTACAGATAGACATATGTAAATAAGTAAGTTTCTGTGACTGAGGCCAAACATTTATCACAAAACGAGTGCAATGTGACTGGTAATCTTGGCTCGTTGGCCAAAATTCAGAAAAATTTCTTACAATCTATCTAATGTTACAGGGGATTTCTTCCCTTTCTTTTTTTGGCTTCCCCATTCCTCACCCAAAACAGCAGTAGCTCCTGTTGCTGGGGCTGAACCACTGCCATATTCTATTTATTTAAACAGCTGTGTTTATACAGCGTGCCAAGGTATCCAGCTTCTAACATAGGGGTGCATACAGGGAACGGACAGCACTTAGGCAAAGCCTGAGAATGACCATGGGGGTTAAATACATTCTTAGGAGCATGTGAGCTATATGGAGTGGCTCA